GACTCATAAGCTGAAACTGTTCCATAATGTACCTGCTTAAACAAATGGTTCTGGGTAATATTTGGTCCAATATTTATATATGGAGAGACAGCATTGTCTGCTTATGTATTCATGTAACGTGTCATTATGGCTGTATTTTTCCTCTCTCCAGTCCACCATTGCCAACGCTGCCCATTAAGGTTTCTTCGCAATAAAATAAAATAAAAACTGCGAATGAGGCGTACGCTGTAACAAAATAAAATGGGGAAAAGGCAATTCTACCATTAAAGTTCACCTTATCACTGACAAAGAGCCCGATCATCTCGCCTCGCACATTTCCTAAAAATAACGTGTGAATTGGCGCAGCACCGATGAAACTATCAATTATCTTTACCCTCTAAGAACCCCCCCCCCCCCCCCCGACGTGCCTCCTGGAAGAATCTGCGGTGTGTACGCGAGAAACTCTCCGTTGTAAGCTGCACCACCCACAGTAATCCACCGCCTTTGAAAGCAGCGTTGCCCTATTTCATTATAATTTTTTACTTGCTAGGTGGCACAATAATTATAGATCCTGACTCATGGTAAAAACATTGGGACAGGGCTCAGACCCATCCTATCCTCGATCAGGAACGGATAAAATTAGAACTGATATTTGGGGAGTTGGCCCTGGTTGCACTGGACGGGACTGGTCCTTGCCTTGAGAATGTGGAATCTCACCACTGGCTCAGGGTTGCCAATAAATATGTGTATCACCCCTTTGCTGGCTTGAGCAGCAACAATCTTGCAAGACGTATTATTGTTTTAATATTGGTCTTGTGAAGGCCGACAGAGACGAAAATCACTCAGCTCGGCCTTGATCCAGCAGTAGATTGATGATGATGACGATGATGATTGGAAAGACAGATGTGGAAAGGCAGGATTCTGGTTACAATATCCATGCTTGTTAACAGCACTCTTCCAAGCAGGACTACAGTATATGCAAGGCTGCAATGTGGATATCTGTCTTTGCATGCATTTATGTACTGCATTATATATGTAAATTGTGCCAACTATTTCAACGTTCCTTAATTTCCCATCACCTATTTGAAATAACAAATGTTGGTATGTTTCGTTTTTTATCATTTAATTATCAATCATTTCCAAATGGCCAAATTTGTTTATGCTTTAAAACATGTATTCATGAAGAACATAAGTCACATTCTCCAAGAACAATCAGGGTAACTGCGAGCATACTTGTGATGCGATGCTCCTCAAGTGTTTACAGACATTCAAAAATTAGTTTCAAAGTTGTTTGAGCAACAGCGGCAACCATGCCCAATCGCCTCCTCTTTAATCAGCAAATTGAGATGTTGGCCATACATCAACGGCCATGCTTTTGTTTGCCACACAGCAAGGATGTGTTAAAGAATAACGCAAATGTCAAATACTGCGCTGTGAAATGCCACACTAACTTCCCAAAGCTGACATTTAATAAATGAACTCTGCAGGCGTTGCATAAGCAGATGAACACGTTTAACTAAATTTTACATCTAGTTGTGTGTGCTTATATATTCGGAGTTTCCAAGTTATCCCCGTGGAAACGTGGATTCTTCTCCAGGTCCTCCAGTTTTTCCCTCCACATTTCGAAACATCCATATTTAGAAATATATTATACTGTATATATAGCCAAATATTCGAGTATTTTGCTACTATATATTTCAACATGATGAGCCACTTCGTTTATCTATCATTTGTTGTCAGGTCGCCTCTGAAAAAAGAGCTATAAAGGGCCTAGTGGACCTTACCTGGGAAAAAAAAGAACTTTTTTATATGATTGTGGAATTTCCACCGTTGGCTGAGGCCCATCGTTGAAGACGATCACCGATGCTCGTTCTAGCAGGGAAAACTTTAATGGCAGAAATTTGAATTTAATAGCAGAAATTTTAATGTCAAGCTGGCTTGGAGTAGGGATTATCAGCACAAGTCACTGCCACTCGAGATCACCTTAAGGCTGTCTATTATAATCATCCTATATGTTATTACACTCTATATTTGTATCATCTTATGAATAGTTTTAAGAAAGTGTAAGGCTAGATGGATGCGACGTGTCACAATTGTCCCTAGGCCTGAGTTGCTAACTGTTCCGGCTGGAATTAAGCACACACTATGGGCCCTTAGGGCCTGTGTTGAGTAATTTTATTTTTAATTTTTAAATCAACTTATTATTGCAGCATTGTTTTCCCAATTTGGGTAGTAACCTCTGGGTCTCAGATCTTCCACCTCAGTGTTAAACAGGGGATGTGTTTATGTAATAGCCCCACAAGTCACGGAGATGACAGTGGAGCTGTTGCAATTGATTTTTTTGTATATCTTTTATATGTGGCAGCATCGCGAAAATATCGCAAGACATTCCGAAGTCATAAAAAAACATAAACCCGTCGGATCCAACACCAATGACTGACATTTGTGTACTCTGCTAGCAATCTATGATAACCGGTAACGTAAAATATAAACATTATTTACACAGTTAAGCGTAACTACAATGTATAGGACTTCAACACCATCCTGTATAAGAGATGCATAATTCTTCATACAATTCAACAACAAAAATCCTGTTGATTTAACTCAAATTGCTGCAAATATCTGTTAACCGCAATATTGGTACAGTATTTCTTCATGGTGTCGAGAAAAGTAGTTTAGCATCAAATGATATTAAAAGAACAACCAGGTTAATCATAAACAATAGCAGGTGCTTTCTGCCTTCGCTCAAGAGGAAAGGCAGATCTCAATGCTTCAGCTGACTCGCCTTCTCCAGGAGATATTGAGAATGACGCAAGAGAGTGAAACGTACTGAATGAGAACATCAGTGGGATTAGGTGATGTCAGGTGATGGACTTGCTGAGGTTTTCAAAAGATTGATATTCAGTATAAATATAATACAATTAAAATCACCTGACACTTAACAATGGGTCTGGTATGGGTCTGCCATGGTCTAGTGGGTAGCACGCTGGGCTTACAATGCACAGGTCATCGGTTCAATCTCCAGGTGCGGTAGCTCAAACAATGGGGAAAGTTTTGACAAATCCACCCCTCCGCCCTCCCCCCTCCACCTCCACCCCCTCCCCTGCCTCTGTCAACCCAGCCGTGTAAATGGGTTCACCACAACTAGCCAATCAGCAGGTCCCATGTAGTGGAGTAAAAGTGTGTGTAATCTCTCCTCTTAAAAGACATCCAGCAAGTGTGGAAGAACGTGCCAATTAGTTACTCCTTCAGCACATCGGTGTGTTGAAGAGTAAACCCACACCATTTACAATTTGAGTACGACGTTTCGCTGGTGATTACAACCAGCTTCATCAGGCGGTTAGCCAGACTTGTGAAGACGTCTTCCTGTATCGGTCTTAAATAGAGTAAAGGTGATGTAATCGCTGTGAGCCTATCAGGTGCGAAGACCAAATTCTGGCTAAACGCCAATACACCGGTGTAGTGAAGTAGTAAGTAATTGGTATGATTTGTTTACGTGACAAACCTTAAAGATTGGCCGTATTGGGTGGTGGTGGGTTTAACAACACATTTATATGTACGCGATTTAACCCCCCCAAAAACTTTATTATAGATATTGGTCGTGAAAGCCTACATGTTAAAGTGTGGAAGACTAGATAAAAATACTCTCCAGAGGAGACCATTCCACCAGCGGTGGAGTTTAGAAAGCAATTGCAGGGCTGCACCTTTATCTATCGATATACCAAGGCATGCAAATTGATACGAAAACTTGATGAGTGCTGTGGTTGTCCTACCTGATGACGGACGCTTGTGTTGTGTCCGAAACGTCGTGATTTAATTTATTTTATTTTCTTTACCTACGTGACTTTACTGAAAGAACCAAAGAGTATGGATCCTTGCAGTCACGAAAACTTCAAATCTAGAATGAGCATTTAATCGTTGAACATCAACCACCGGTATATGTACATGCATTCGTTAATAACCATTACAGATTGTCAGCAAATAAAATGCACTAATTGGAGGACACATGGACATGAAAATAAATGGGATATTACAAGATGCATTTTTTTCCTGCCCTGTTTTCCAAATGAACGTATTGGCGGTACACTAGTGGTGTGCGGTATAAAAAAAAAGCTATTTTTTCGCAATCATTATTTATGTTCCTGCGATTCGCAACCCTGGCCAGAAAATATTGCAGGGTGGTGATGGTGCGTCAAAATCAGTTCTCGTGATGTCGAAGCAGTGGGAAGAGGAATGTTTATATCAGGGGTGGGGAACGTCCGGCCCGCGGGCCGTATGAGGCCCACGAAATAATTTGGTCTGGCCCTGCCAAGGCAACCGCAGGCGGGACTCGAAATTCAATAAATCTAGGAGCAAACCTGGAAAAGCAGTTGCGAGTAGCAACATCGTCAACACCAGCTAACATCATCACACTCCTCGCCAAAGAGAGGCAGTTCCAGCCCATCACATTCGGGGTGAGTTAATTAAATGTTTGAGCAAATATATCAGGCTATTTTTTTAAGTTGATTATTTTGTATGGCCCGCGAATGATGTTATAAATATCCAAATGGCCCGTGGCAGAAAAAAGGTTCCCCACCCCTGGTTTATATGAGCAGCTGAACACTACGCTTCGCAGTCTGTTGCCATATAGCAGCACCCAGCCTGATGACGATTGGCTTCAATGTGTTCCAAAGTCAGATTTGACTCCTCGTACCCTCGACTTGGTCGGACAGTTCCTCGATTTAAGGACCCAAATCAACAGTCAATATTGACATTTTTTAGCAAGTCTCAGTAGACTGAATAAACTTGGCGACAGGGTCGATCAAAGACTAATAAACAGATTTGCTGATTCAAATTTAGATTGTATACTGTTTTATGAGGACCGGTGTGTTATGCTGCACCGGTGTACCGCCAATACGTCCATATATATTGAAGCTGATAAGAATAAAAATGATGCCGCATGTACATCTGATGTCAGGTGTTCATAAAACACAGCAAATAACGTTTTTTTCTCTCTCTCTCTCTTTGTCTTTTTCATGAAGGTGGAAGTACCCAAACTTCTGCAGTGATGAAGCTGAACTGACACCACAGTGCAGGCTCAAAGGGAAAGGGGTGGAAGTTTAAAAATGATGTAAAACAAAGCACGCCGAAACTCCTCCTCTGCCGCTTTTAAAACTCGGTTGCCGCCCGACAGAGCTGTGGAATTTTTTTTATGTACACACGAGGAATACAGGAACACGTTGTCGTGCTTAATGTACCGTGAATGTAAACAGGATGGTTTTATTGCACACGTGATTCTACTCGGTGTCGAGGGGGTCGTTTTCACCCCAAACGAAGACATTGTTACGATGTTGTCGCCGTGAACCCAGCTCGTTTGAATCTGGTCGAGAGCTTTCGAATGTCCTTCTGCGAAACCGTCTGAACGAGCTTCGGGTGTACATTGTTTGTATATGCGCTAAATGTTACTGTGCTTTTGAAGAAATATCATCCGCTTCTACCGTACCTATAATAATGCCACTGGATGAAACGTTCTCATTAGCAGCATAAGCTACGGCAGTAACACGTGCTGCGGTGATTGTCAAAGCAGTTAACCACATGAGTCTGCATGTAGTTACACGCTTGTTTTCGGTATCCTTAGAAAGCTATATTGTAAACGGTTGTTAAAGTTCTCATGCTAAATTAGCGTGGATAATGTTGACACAAAGGTCACTCCGTGTCTGTGACCAAGAATGATTCCACAGAGAGCAAACGTTAAACTCAGTTCACGAACTCGATTGTCACCGCTTTTCAAATCGGATTTGGAGTGAAATAATTTCACCGAGGCCATGGCAGTCACTTGATGTGGGGTAAAATATTGGTATGAGACATATCGATACGAATAATTTTCATCAAGAATAGCATTTCGTGCAGGATACAATGTATGGACATCATACATATTCCGAAATTGAAGCCTTGTTGCGAATCAAATGCCTATGATCCATACTATAGAAATCTGGTGTACACACGTCTCAACATTATTTCACACTTTTGTATAGAATGTAACATTCGAACTGTAGGTTTTCAACATATAAAAGACCGAACGAAACATGCCACAAAACTGCCGTGAGTTTTAGGAACATGAATTGGCATTAAACAAAGGGCACACTACGACCAGTATCGATTTGCAATGCGTTTCGTGTAGAAAAACTACCTTCTTAGTTTCGCCGTGTCTGCCACGATGCCTCGCACCAAAGGCTGAACAGCTCCCCTTCGAGTAAAATGGCACGCTCCGCAGTAGCTAACAAGTTGTAATACACAGAATGAACAGTTTCTGAACGGGGTGGTTGTGATCATAACTTTGGCCGAGGGGGCTGTATCGTCTGCTCTCGTTTGACCTCCACGTCTGATGTATTATGTTGCCAACTCTATCGGTTGTCTGGGGCTAATGCTGCAGTTATGCCATGCATTGCATTTCGCATTTTATAACCAATAACACAGCACGTATGTAGTTATTTTGCAACGCCTAAATGCACTTTTCCGCAAGAAAAAATACCAACAGTATAATTTTGACACTGCGCCTTAGATTTGCAAAAACCGTTGCAATAAACGGTGTCGTAAAAATTAAAGAGTACTTAAAACAATAAACTCGTCATTGTATTAACTATTTTTAAAATATATTAAATGCACTGCCTGCAGCTTTTTGTAAAGTACAATAATAAAAATGGTTATATATATAACGCTGAGTTAATGTCTCATCTTTAGTAAGAGTTGTAAAGCTTGGACGTTAAAAAAACTCGACGGCTATTGCAATTAACGGTGCCTCGTGACTGAAAATATGCAGCAACTCCTCTCACGCACGAAACTGCTACCCGCATCTCCAATTATCAACAAGAAGATGTGCCATCTGCAAAATCTCTCATCATCCGTGGCCCGACTCTTGCGAATATTCGAGACTGTCCGTGGATTTTCTCAACCTGCGTTGCACAACGGCCTCCCTATAATCCGTCACGTTCTTCCCCACGTATAATTAATTGGAGTGAACGCGTGCGTGCGTGCGTGTGAGAGTCGCGCCGAACGAGGAGACGGACCGATGAAATCAGCTCGTGCGCAGGTTCCGGGCGGATCATTCCTGCGCAGGATCACGAGCGATAGTGGCGGCTTTGGTGAGGCCCTCGTCTGGCAGTGGATGGACCATGGCTGGATGATGATGGCATTTTGTGGGAGTCAGACAACTGACTGTGCGTGTGGCTCATCGGCGAACCTCCTGTCTCGCCAGCTGCACAGTGGCAACATATTTCATGAAAGCTGCATATGGAACCGTCACAGGTTTGTGTAAATATTTGTTTCGGAGGGTGATTTGTTTTCGGTATTCCAAACAAGTTGTCTCATTTTTTTATTTATAGCTTTCGTGACTGCAGGGATTCATATTATTGGTTTATTTCGGTAAAGTCACGTAGAAGGGAAACAATAAAATAATAAAAATATAAAAAATAAAATTCTCACGACGTTTCGACTGCAACACAAGCAATCATCATCAGGTGTGAAAACCACAGAAAAATTTCAAATTTTCGTCGATAACACCGTTTCTTGCTGTGGTTTTCACACCTGATGATGACTGCTTGTGTTGCAATCGAAACGTCGTGAGAATTTTATTGTTTTATATTTTTATTATTTTGTTGTTTCCCTTCTACGTGACTTTACCGAAAGAACCAAGAATAAGTTGCCTCATGAAATATTAAAAGGAACACAAAGTTAACATTGCATTTTAAAGGCCATTTTCAAGATTATATTCGCTAACTGTTCCAGCCAATCATTATATATATAGCTCACACTCGTAAATAACACTGCTCCCAATAAGTGTTATCGACGAATGGGTTGAGTTTTTATTGTTGTTCACAGTGCTTTGTGCACTGCTGCCAAAACTTGGCAGCATCGCCAAATAACTTTTTAGGAGAAAAAAAAATCCAATCTGGCACGTCAGATTTTTGTCTTGAGTTTGAAACAAATTGTAAGGGAAATAAGGACCACAGTGTAAGGGAAAGAAATACTTCTGATTTACCATCTCCTTTCAATGTCACCACATCCGATGGATCATCATGATCAGCAGCAGCCATGATTCATCCGCTGCTGGATTATGGCCTCCGTAAGCCGTGCATGTACTGTGAGCTCAACAGTCAAAATTAATCAATGATTCAATGCACAATTATACCTTGACTGTGTTGATTTGGATATGTACTCTGAGCACTCATCAGTGAGCCAGAGTGGTGTGTTGTAGGTAACAGGAAGATAATTAAAAAGACACTTTTACTTGTCTGCACTTTCCAATTGCATCATCATCATCATCACATGGTCCTCACCTGCTGAACTTCTTTCGCACCGTACGTAGCCAACCGTTATAAGCGGAGGTGCTGTTAAAGCACGCACACCCTGATGTAAACCCTCTCAGTAATCCAGGCTTTCTGCGTGCAGCAGAGCATCCTCAGGCTCTTGCACAATGTCACAGATCTTGGCATCGGGCCGACAACCTGTTCCACGTTAGGGACAAGCATGCCTTCTGGAGCTGCCTCACCCCTCAACTTAGCAAGAGACCTTCACTCTTACGCAGCTCAAACACTACAGGGAGAAGGAGCCACTCTGCTGCTTGAAACATGATTCCAGAAGACTAAGTTCCAGGCAATCAAAGACTGGGAGTGGAACAGTGCATCAATTCGTGATATATATGTTTATGTCTGGCGCTGCCACGGTACAATGTTTGACACACTCGGGACTTACAATTCAGACATCACAGACATAACAGGTTCGATCTCCTGCAGTGGCAATTTAAACAATGGCAAGTTTCGGAAATCCCTCTCACCTCTGTCCAACCAGCAGTATAAATGGGCGTACAATCATAGCAGGTTTGATTGGCAGGTCACGTGCGATGGAATAAAGTGTGGGTCCTCCCACATCTTCCAAGACGTCCCGCCGGCGTGGAAGAGGAGGCCCACCTTCTAGACAGGCACTCTCTAGAACTCCCTCTAGTGGAGATCCATCCACAGTGGCATGGTCAAGCAATTTCCCCGCACCTCCGATTAGCGCAGTTTGATACGTGTACGGTGCGAAATAAGCTCAACATACATACAATTGTAGGGCACCTTTATATTGTTTTACCTAACATTGTATCTAATGGGTTCATGGGACCTCTGCAGCCACTATTGGCACTACCATTCTCTGCAAAATCAGACAAAATAGCTGATTATTTAACCAAAAATCATGGAAAAGTAGCGAATCAGTAGGAGTGATGGAGCGCGTGAACATCACGTCACATTGGCGAGATGTTAACTACCTCGCCTGGTATGCGAGTAGTTCGTGGGTTCGATGCCGACCCTGACACCTATATATTTGGAGTTTGCATGCTCTCCCCGTGATTGCGTGGATTTTTCTCCAGGTCCTCCGGTTTTTCCCTCCACATTTAGAATGAACATCACGCGTTTAGAATAATGTGGCTTCTGCTATAGCAAGGTCACTTCTGAAAAAGAGCTATATAGCTCAATGAGGCCTTACCTGGTAAAATAAAAAAAGATAGTTTCAATAGTTTAGCTTAGGTGTGAGAAGAGCTGGCTGGAAGAAAGTAATTGCGAGATGGAGGTTGGGTGCATTGTGCGGAATTGGCTGTCAGAGACGGTAAAGTAAGTAAGTTTGACAGGCTAACAAAATGGAATTTGAGTGTTTTTTATTCTTATATTAATGGTTGGCCTCTGGTTACTATGATTTCCTCCCACACCAAGTATTCCTAAAAAAATACAGCGAAATTTCCAGCGCAGCAAGAGGGATGTAGCGAATGTGTTTTTGGTTAAAACTAAACAAATATATTTTTGGTGGCACCAGCCTAACAAACCCGAAATAAAACGTCACCATGTGATCGCAGTTTGATTACATTCGTATTTTTATTTTATTTTTACAGCCAGGTGAGAGGCAAATAAACGTCTCCTTACTCAACGGAGACCTGGGATAGAGTCAACAACAGCATAAACAATAGAAACTGTCTATATTCGAAGCTTTCGTGACTGCAGGAATTACTCTTTGGTTCTTTCGGTAAAGTCACGTAGAAATAAATTAAATAATAACAGAACACGACGTTTCGATTGCAACACAAGCAACCATAATCAGGTACAAATGAATGAGAAAACAAACAGTAAACTTGAAAGTACAATGCAATACAACACAGAGAGTCGGCCAACACCACAGTC